GGGGGGGGGGGGGGGGGGGGGGGGGGGGGGGTTGAAGAATGGGCGCGGCCGGGGATGGACCGCGCCGTGTATACACCCATACCCCGGACACTGGCATGTGCCCCTTCCGGGGTGGCGGGTGTCGCCCCCTGGGGGCGGGACGGGGGAGACGCGCCTTCGGGCCCCCTTTTGCCGGGCCCTTCCCAAGGGACCACAGAGACCACTCACAGACACTACCACAGAGCGAGAGAGGGAGCAAGAGAGGGGGGGGAGGGGGGCTGGGCCACTCGCCGGCGAGCAGGCAAGCCCGTGAGCGAGGGCAGGAAATGGCCGATGAAATAATGCGAGCTATATTTCTCCCCTTCGTGCACCGGCCCCCGCTCCCCATGGCCCCCGCGGTGCCCGAGCGAACGCCCAGCCCCGCGGTGCACGACGAGCATGGCCGGGCGGGCGGTTATTGGGCCGGGGCAATTGCAATTTCGGCCCGGCCGTTTGAATTCAAAATCGCTCAGGTGTGTGTGCGGGCCCGTTCCAGCCGGGCCTCCCCCCCCCCCGCCCGCGCCCATTGAGGGCAGGTAGCCGGGTGGCCCGGCCGCCGGGGGGGGGGGGGCGAGCCGCCCAAGACAACCGGCGCCCCCCCACAATCTGTGGGGTCCGGAGATGGGGACCAAGGCGGCATGGGTCGGCCGTCGGCGGACTGCATCCGGCCGGCGGATGACTAAGGTCGTGATCGGGCGCGCCGTGGCAGGCGAACAGCGGTCCCGGCCCAACGGGGCGCGGCGGCCTCGGCGATTCGTCCGCCGAGGCGCCCGGCGTTCGCCCAGGCGTCGAGGTCTGGCCCCGCGGCGCGATGGGGCATCATGGGCCTCCGGCGGGTGGCCGGCGCACTTCGCGGTGCGGTGTCCCCTGCGGCCCCGTGCGGGGCCACCAGCGGGCCCGTGCGGTTGCCACCCGGTGCCGGCGGCCACGCTGGTTGCCTGTGTTGCGGTGCCCCGGCCCGCCGGGTGCCTCGTGGGCGCGCAGGGGCGCCGGGCCGGCGGCCTTTTTTATTCCGGCGCAACCGGCCACCCGCCTCCGGTGTTCGTCTTCCTCCATTGCCGGCGGGTTGGCTACAGGGCGGTTACACCGACCGGGGGTCCCGGTCTGCCGGGCGAGCATCTCCCCCCCCCCCCCGGACAGAGGAGTGCCGGACTCGCGCCCGGTCCCTCGCGCCTCCACCCCATGCCGGTGCGCCGGGCGGTTCTTTCTCCCGGCCTGGCCACAGCCGGGGGGGGGGGGGGGGTGGCCATGCACCAGAAGGCCGTACAACAGGGAACACATGGCTCGAGGGCCGCGCCGCCGTGTCGGTCGTCGTCCTCCGCTCACGGCCGCCAGGCGATCCGCGTCACCGGGCGCACATGGGCCCACGGCGCGCCTGGCAACTTGATTTCCTGCCGGCGTCGGCGCCGGCGCGTCCCCGCCAACCGGCCCCGGGGCATATGAAGGCCCTCCCCCGTCCCCGCCCCCGCCCCCTCGGGCCACCCAGGAGCCCGGCGCCGGTTCCCCGGGGCTTTTCCCCGCGCGGCCCATGCGCATGGGGCCCTCCGCCCTCGCTCCCCTCCCCTCCGGGGACATTCGCCCCGGCCCCGGGACCGCCGGCGCCGCTGCCGGGGGGGGAGGGGGGAGGTAGTAAGGGGCGGCGAGGGCGAGAGGCCAGGCCCTTCTGGGGCTTATGAGCGTCCTAATGCCGCGCATGCGCGCCCAGCGTGGCTCTTCCTCCTTTGGGGAACCCGCCCCCCTTTGCGGTGCGCCGGCGCCGCTCTTCGGCCGGGGGTTCGAGCTGAGAGCCCAGGGGGCAGCCGACGGCCGGCGGCCGGCGGCCGGGGGGGGGGGGAGGGCGGTTGCAATGCGTTGACGTAATCCTTCCGAACTTTGCGGCCTTCTTTTTGCCTTTCCTCCCAGCCTCTCGGCGCCCGGCTCGGGCTGGCGGACGCCTCTCGGCGCCCGGGACCGCGCCCGCCGGAAGGGCCGGCCCCTCGGCCAGCCGCAGCCTCGCGCGGGTAGCGCCGCGCACGCAACTCCTGTAACGGGGGGCCCGGGCGCACTTCTGAGACAATGTGCACGCCGCTCATTAGCACCGGTGCCGGTGGCCGGCCAACGGCACGGTGCTCCGATCGATCGCTCGCATTCATGCACGAACCCGGCCACCGGCCGGGTCCGCCCGGAGGTCCAGCCACGCGCCGGCGCATGACCCGCAAAACCGCCTAATCGCTCCATGACGAAGTAGCGTGGGGCCGCCGGCCAGCCGGGCGCACACCCTTCGATCAGTCCCACAGGCTCGCACGCCACTTCCGGGGCCCGGTGGAAGCAGCTGGCCTTCTGCCCGCCCCCCCCCCCCCCATCTGCTCATGCGCCTCCGGGCCTCCAGATGGG